GCTAACCTTTTGTGTGGCTTTGAGTACAATTCTTCCAGGGAGTTGACATAGAGCTAAACTAAAATGTGGAGAAACTGCTACTTTGTTCATAGGGTTCCAGACACCTCCGAAAATGATGAGAAAGTTTGCCTCCATTGGCAGGACTGAATAACCCGGTTCCCTGAACAAAAAGCTCTGTCATAAAGCCTGAACTCTTTCGTCTTTTCGCTGCCTTTGATGTACACTTCAAACAACCTGGACAGGACACCACTAAGATCCCAGTGCGTGCCTACGTTGGATACCCCTTCGCTATACTTCTGGGGAATGCCTCAGCTACACGCATTCAATCGCATGGGACTTCTTACTCCATTCATTGTTCCAGTTGCATTGTTACTAATTGTATTATCCCCTCTCTTGTTCGTCTATATCTTGTGGTGGTCTTGCTCAAAAGACCCTCCTATGTTATGTTACCTGTTGATTTACATGACATGCCTTGGTATGATAATACTGCCATGCAAGTTTTAGATGAAGTACATGCTCTTCTTTGTCCCAAACGTTTTATTGCTGCCCTTATTCTAGGCATTGCCGCTCTGATTTCCTTAGTTACCTCTTTAGCTGCTTCCTCTGTTGCTTTAATTCAGGAAGCTAAGACAGCTTCTTTTGTAAATGACCTTACCAAAAACGTGTCCATGGCGCTCGCAATACAGCGGGACATTGATTATAAGTTAGAAAGAAAGTTAAATGCTCTAGAAGAAATTGTTATTGCTATTGGCAATGAGGTTCAACTTCTCAAACAACAACTGTCTACTCGTTGCCATGTTCAGTTTCGTTTCATTTGTGTTACGCCTTTACATTATAACTCTTCCTTACATTGGAATCTTACCAAACATCACCTATTGGGCATCTGGCAAGACAATGACCTTTCTCATGACCTTTCGTCTCTCCAAGCTGAAATTTCTGCTGTCAGTAAGTCTCATCTGCACACTTCACTCTCTTCCTTTGCTCATTCTCTAGCTTCCACTCTCCAATCTTTGACTCCTACTCACTGGTATCATCTCATTCTCTCCTTTATTGTTCTTTCCCTACTTGTCCTGCTCCTTTGTTTACTCCTTCCCCTCTGTGTCCGCTTACTTCACAGGTCCATTCGTCATCTTCAACGAGATATGTACGCCTTCCAGCTCCGTTCTAAAAACAAAGGGGGACCTGCTGCACCTCCCCCTGCAGTGACCTTTAGGGCTAACCGTCCCTAGGTCCGGCTGGGCAACCAGCGCGCAGGGGAAGAAGAGCAAAACCCTACCTGCTGCACCTCCCCCCGCAGTGATCTTTAGGAATGGCTTTCGCCACGGTCCCTAGATCCGGCTGGGCAACCAGCGCGTGGGGGAAGAACAGCCTGAAGCAGAGGAAGTGCAGCGGAAGTTCCCTGAAAAGGCAGAAGCTTATCAAAAGAGAACGACCACCAAGAACCACTACAAGAATGCTAAAAATCAACTCAAAATGGATTAAAGAACTAGACATAAGACCTGAAACCATAAAATATATAGAAGGAAATATAGGCGAAACACTACGTGATTTGCACATCAAAGACATCTTTACAGACACATCACCCAAAGCAGTGATAGTGAAGGCAAAGATAAACAGCTGGGACTACATCAAATTAAAGAGCTTCTGCACAGCAAAAGAGACAATAACAAAAACAAAGAGAAACCCCACCAACTGGGAGAACATTTTTGCACCCAACACTAATGATAAAGGACTGATCACAAAAATCTGCAAAGAGCTGATGAGACTCAACAACAACAAAGAAAATAATCCAGTCCAAAAATGGGCAGAAGAGCTAAAAAGAAACTTCTCTGAAGAGGAAATGCAAATGGCCAACAGGCATATGAAAAAATGTTCAACATCACTTGTAATCAGGGAAATGCAAATCAAAACTACCATGAGATACCATCTTACACCAGTGAGAATGGCACATATTAAAAAAACTAGCAACAACAAATGTTGGCGAGGGTGTGGAGAAAAAGGAACTCTTCTGCACTGTTGGTGGGAGTGCAAACTGGTCCAACCACTGTGGAGAGCTGTGTGGAGATTTCTGGACCTACTAAACATAGAGCTTCCATATGATCCAGCAATTCCACTCCTAGGTATTTACCCAAAGGACACAGAAACATCAATTCCAAAGAACACCTGCACCCCTATGTTTATAGCAGCACTGTTTACAATAGCTAAGCTTTGGAAACAACCCAAATGCCCTAAAATAGATGACTGGATCAAGAAGATGTGGTACATATATACCATGGAATATTACTCAGCATTCAAAAAAGATAAACACATGCAATTGGCAGCAACATGGATGGCACTGGAAGGGATCATGCTCAGCGAAATAAGCCAAAATGAAAAAGAAAAATACCGGATGGTCTCGCTCATAGCAGGAATCTAGAAAACTTAAATAAGGGACCAGGAAAACGAATAACTATAAGAAAGTGAAAATCAAAATCAACAAAAAACTACGAACCAGAGACACTTTTAGGGGGGTGGGGGTGGGAGGGGAGGGATTGGGGTCAGAATGGGGGGGCTGCAATTGTATGGGGAATATAAAAATAAAATTTATTATTAAAAAAAAAAAAAAAGAATGCTAAAAATCTTATCCCGTCTTTCTAGAACTACAAACTTTAATCCCTTAGTTGTCTTTCTAAACTTCCTTCTTTCTTCTATAATGGTCATTGCTTGTTATGTAGATCACCTCCCTGATGATGATAGACTGAGCCCATGAGCAAGCTAATTTCATTGACATTCATTCCTGTGCTTTTGGAAAACATATATATACTGGTCACAAACTTAAAGAAAATTACACTCAGATTTTCACTCTTGAAGTGTGTCTGTGTGTCATTTCTTTCGCCGACGCCCTGACCACCCTGCACGCTTCTCTCAACCCTGAGGTGGCCTCATCGTCTACTGCTGTGCTGGTCCGCGGCACAACTATGACTACCACAATTCTTGTTCTGTAAGATTTTTAAGAATGGGACCATGCCTCTCAGGGAACTGTATTAGGGCTATTTTAGTTGTAAATGAATAAAAAATCTGTCCTAAAATAGGTTAAATGAGAGTGGCAGGGTGGGTGGGTAAGAGACAGAACTTAGCAGGCTCTAAGGTCAGTGTGGTTCTGGATTTCAAATTATATCAGGTGGACTCTACTTTCTTGTTGTTTTTCATATCTATTTTCTCTTTTTACTATATGGTAAGACAGGCTCATTCCATGTCAAAAATTGTCAGCAATAGCTTTAGCTTTAGCAAACTTTTCATGGATGACACTGAAAAATAGGCATGGTTCTCACATTCTTATAAGAGGGGAAGACTTGTCACAGAATTGACAGCCTTATTGGGCAGAGAAGGCATTTCCTGAAAAGATGGACATAAAAAAGTAAAAGTTGTCCACTACATTCTACCCATTGGCTACCCAGTATTTATACTTGTGCAACTTTCAAGCATGCCCTAGCCCAAACAGTGTAATCATCCCATGGACAGCTGAAATACTATCATCCCCCATATTTTACCCAATTATTGCACCTTGCTTGAAAGTCAAGAGTGTGGATGGTGTGCATTTCATTTGGTCGGTTCTGGATCTAGTTCTTCATGGTACAGCAGGATAAAAATAATTTTATTAGTGGTATATACTTAAAGAGGAAAGTATGGGCAGCCTAATTAGCAGTAGATGAGGTCCCTGGTTAGTTAATATAGTTGTCTTGAGTTTGCTCTCTGGAAGGTACTCTCTTATCCTTTGTACACACATGAGATACTGGAATTGAGCAATAATGTGCCATTGTTTGCAAGGGTTGGTGTTTCTGTCAATACAATTCTCTTGAAATCTTAGTTGACTGCTCATCGACTTTACTTTTTGGTAACTGTGATTTAGAAACCAAATGGTGTGTGAATCTGTTTTCTCTCCCTTAGCAGTGTGTGGCAAGGTTAGAATGCAATATCTATCCTTCATCCAGGTAAACTTAGCAACATATTTCTGTAGAATCTATCATTCAGACAGCTACACCTGTATTTCTGTTTTGACTGCTGCATCCAAAATTATAAGCTGAGGAAAAAGTTCAGGAATAACATAGTTAGGTTAAGTCTCTTTGTCCTACATTACATCTAAAGGATGGCTCCTCACGATAGAGATAATTTGCCAACCTTTGTCAGATAGGATATTTACAACCAGAGATTTTGTGCATGATTTTTTTCAGGGCTTCAATTTTATCTTTTTTATATAGGCTTATTTCTTTGTCATGTGAACTGACTACATGCAAAAAGGGGTGTTTTAGAAAAACATTTTTCTTCTGTATTCAAATAGGAGCTTGAAGTGATATGCAACGCACTACCCGCCCCCACCCCCCCGCCTCTATTTTTTCTGTAGGACCTCACTATTGGACACAGTTCAAAATCTGAATGCTCCTCTACCAATTTCTCTAAAACTTCAATTTTGATATAGACAATGGCTAAGACCTAAAACTCAACAGGTAACTTGCTTCTTGCAATACAGTATTGCCAATTCTCCTAGCCAAGGCCAAAAAATTATTGCATAACTCACCTAGACTCATCAATTTTTTATTGTAGGTGTGTCATTTGTTCACAATGGCACTATACAAACCATCTCATTTTTGAAAATTCTTGCTCCCTTCTAGCTGGATTATTTGAAATGTCCTATCCAATTTTGGATTTTAGGAATATTCTACATTTAAATCATTAAAGCATGGTTTCTCTGATTTTACTTCACTGTCATGGCATTGCAGAAGGGCATCTGGTCTGATCGTTGTCTTTGTTGCTGAAAAGGTACATTGTTGATACAACTTCCAATGTATTCTTTCAGAGTTGGATTATTTTCCTCTACCTTATTTCAGAACTTATGGATGTTAGTGTATACTCAACAGGATCCTCCTTTCAACCCATTTATACCACAGCTCTGCCATGAGTTTCCATCACACTGTACTACAGAAAGCCTATGGAAAGCACTCAGTTTTACCAAATTTACATACCACTTAAGGAATTCTGTATCTCCTTTTCAGTCCATCGTAGCCAAGGAAGATGCAGGAGAGGGAAAGGTTATTTACGTTGCCTGGTCCTCTCTGCTTAAACATATTATTTTGCCATTTCTACTTGATTGTAGTTGCCTATATTGGCAAACTTTGAGGTGAGAAGCAGGGCACAAGCCACAAGCTCCCAGTTTGAATTCCCAAGTCTTCCTGATAGTATCTATCCCTTGGAATTTCAACCCTGTGGAGAGAGCCAGGAAATCTGTGTCTCAATTAATGGGTTCTTTTCCCATCTTGCTATACCATTTAAATAGCCTCTATTTTCTTGTAATGATTCTGTTCTCAAGCAGGGTCACTCTACATGATAATAAGACTATAGGTAATTTAAGTCATTGCTTAATTCAAAGAGATGCCTCTTTTTCAATAGTAGTATGCAGAATGGTGAGACCCATCAATTGGTTTCATTTTTGGTAAGATTTATTTATTTACTTATGCATAGAACTCAGGTGTAGGTCAGAAGTGTGGCAGGTGAGAGGATTCACTAGAGACAGAGTTGGAAGCAAAACAGGTGGATCTAGTGAAATAAATTGCTTAGGGGAACAGCAGGCAAGACAGGATACTGTATGTGGGCTAGCTTCTTGGCCAGGAATTGAACTCAGGCCACAACAGTGATAGCATGATAGTACTGAGACTTAACCTCTATGCTACCATGGAGCCCCCGACTTCATTCATAAATCTGCCCATTCCTCAATAAATCATTGTACTTGAAGAATAAGGGTACTTTGGCTGCTTAATTTATGGGTCCACTATGTGATAACAGTTAGGACTAGGAAATGGATGGTTGCTCTTGGGGGAAAAAGTTAGGTTTATATTAGTTAGGATAAACTCTTAAATCTCACTGTAATATGCTCTCAACTGTAATATTCTCTCATTAGGAAAAGAAAAATGTGAGACAGTAGGCAATATAGATGCACAACAATGATGGAATACTGCGCAGGCATTCTGTGATCCACCTTCCCTGAGAGTGGAGAAAGTTTTGATGAGATCCCAATTCTAGTCTTTGGAAGGAACCCCCTTATCCTTTATTTGTGTATGATCCCCAATACTAGCCTCTGAAATGTTCTTTGTCCATTATTTCTGATGGATATATCTCATGTACTGTTGGAGAGCTATAACGTGTTTGTCATATTTCTTGCTTGTACAAAATTGGTGTTGCACAGTTGCCCCAAGGTTTTAAGATTTGAACAATGATATCTGAACCATGTTCATGATTTGATTAGAAATAAATTTCCTTAAATGATACTCAAATTGCATTTACTTCTTTGCTCTTGCCCCTATATCAGTTTCTCTAGAATTTCATCTCAGCCACATTGCAGCTATCTGAAATAAAGGCCTCGGATAGGAAGGCCAATGTCTTGATGTGATGTTTGTTGTAGGACTAAGTCTTAGTTCCCAAGTTCCTAGGGAACACTGCCTCCTCCAGTTTCATTTTTTACTGTTTAAATTCTTTACAAAAGTCAACTTTTCCAAATATTCCTATGTACGTTCATCCTAGTATTTTTTTTTCTGAGCTGCTCTCTTTAATCTTACTAGGAACAAAAAGCAAAATTCAACATACACTATTACTTTTTTTTAATACTTCCTCTGAAGCCACAATCTTAATATATGGGTGATATGCTTTCAATTATCATGGTCAACAGTTCTACAAATGATTTTGTCGCTGCAAAACCTAAGTCTATTTCCTCAAATCTCTGATTATCAATTTCTCCAATATCTGCTACATCATTACTAAGCTGACACAACATATTTTGTGTAATTGTTTTAGTAACACCCTACCTCTGCACCAATTTCTGGATTATGGTCACCTTAGCTCCTATAATTACAAATTCTTAAATCTCAATTTTCCCTCTTACCAAACAATCCAGGAGTGTTTCTAATTTGGAGATGGCTGTCTTCCGAGCTGTAAGTCAGTCACTCATGCTCATTTTTTCTGGCTCTGGCATCTTCAACATATAGTATTCAAGGTCACTATAACCACTAGCAGCAAGCTGATGGAGAGCATTGGAGGACTTCATTAAGACTGGAAAGATGCACATCACTTCCACTCACATTCCATTGGAAAACACTCAATCACAAAGCCATAATTAATTGCAAAGGGAACTAAAATATTTAGGTTAGCTGTATGCCCAGAAAGAAATAAGTTTTAAGAATGGCAAATAAGTCAAGTTTCTGCCACGTGTTCTAAAGGGGGGTGGGGGCCAGAGATGGAATGCTACATAAAAATAAAGTCATCCAGGGACTTTCTCCATTCTAATAGGTTTGACCTTATTCTACCTGTACCAGCAAGATCATCATTTCACTAGGACAGAAGAGTAAAAATCATTTTCTACCTAAATAACGGAGTTATTTTAAAGAAAGGTGGGTTTTTTGTTTGTTTGTTTTTGCTTGTTTGTCTTGACAGCACAATAGGTACAGATGTTAGAGTGCAGAGGAGTAATAGATTTCAGATAATAAAGACATCGTATACAGAGTACTCTTTAAAGCTTGATTGTGAAGGAAATGAGAGTTGAAGCTACAGAAGTATAAGCTAAGGGGCCAGAACTATGGAGATCTGAAGACAAAACGATTATAATTGGAAGAGAAAAGGGAACTGGAACTAAAGTACAGATGGAGAGTTAATTTCATATAAAGCAGGAAGTGTCTCATTTCTTTGATACTGGAGTCAAGGAAAATGCTAGAAGCATCTAAATTTCTAGTATTTCGAAAATTGAAGCCATCTTCCCTAACAGCCTCAATGTTATGAATTTGAAATCATGTAACAAAATGTGGCTGGGATTTAAAGATTACAAAAAGTATTCTGGTGGGGAGTAAAAAAGGTAGGAAGGAGAAATCCAGCTGAAATCACAGAATCTAAATTTGCAGCGGTAAGACAAAAAACTGCATTGTACTGTTCCGCATAGGAACTCAGCAACCACTGTAGGAGAGGAACAAGCAGTGGGTAGCAGTTCATCTGTATATTTAGTACGGCATTTACTACACCGCAAAGTCGCTGGAAGCCGAGACTTCGATTTTCTAAATGATGCACACAGTAGGCACATGATGTATTTTTGCTTGAATGAATTGACTCAGTAATTGCAACTTCTGCCATAGTACTCTGTAGAGTACTGGCAACTGCCCACATTTCATATGGTATACCAATGCTAAAAAGGAAAAAAAAAAAAAAAGCTAAAAAATATTCAGGCACACTGCTAAACTTAGCAGTCTTAAAATGGCAACTATGTCAGCTGAGACAGACTTTATCTTGTGCCAGTACATCTGCCCTTGATGTTTGCTTCATTTTCCTTATGCCACTTCTGCTATTCGACCAGAAACAGAATGATTCCGAGTTCACTAAGTGATGCTATTATTTCAAAAGTCCAGGAAGTTCTTTAGACACCTACAAATTAACTCACAATCCCCATTACAATATTCCTTCGACGAGATACACAGACAGGGAAGACTATAATGAACGTTTTAACCATAAAAACTGAGTCAGTGAGGAATGCAAGAACAAAATCAGGGTCATTCAGTGAATCCTCTGCAAAGTCTGGCACAGATTCCGCTTTCTTCTCTCCCTTTCGGAAACTAAAACTACAGTTACCTCAGACGTCACATAATCGACCTCTTTCCTATTGCACAACCGTAAACTCAGGTTTAAGAAGTCCAAGATTCAAGACTCAAAGTGAGGCAAAGGGGGCTCGCTCTCTTACACGATACCCTTTCTCCAGGTCCAAAGCCCTAACTCACGATCTGGCGGTGGAAAAAACGGCCAGGAAGAAAAAACTACGTACACCAGCTCAGATCCAGGCCCCACCTCCCGGATCTGGCGATCCCGAACTCCCGCTCTTTGGGGGATCTGGACCGCGCTTCCGCCCCGGCCGGCCCCAGATCCCGGGCGGCTCCCCTCCGGCCGGCCGGTCCGCCCCACGCACGGCGGCAGCAGCCCGCCGCGGAGGCCGGGCAGCAGGCCCTCGCGCTCTCTCGCTCGTCCCTCGGCCACCGCGCGCCGCGACTCAGGCGCCGGCTGATGGCGTCACGGGCACTTCCGCCCGCGGCTGCGTTCTAGTCACTGGCGAGGGAGGAAGAAGGGAGGGCTGGAGGACTGTGTGTGGAGGAAATAGCGAGGGAAGAGAAGGAATCCCGGCGCTCGCGGGCAGCGCGCTGGCAGTCCCCCGCGGCCCCCCTCGGTCCCGGCCGTCCGCACCTCGGCCGTCGCCCCAGGCACACTCCCCCCGCCGGGGCGAGGACTCCTCCGGCTCTCCCGACGCCCGGTCTCCCTCTGCGCCTCGCCCCCCCTCCCTCACGCTCCCTCCCTCCCTCCCTCCCACCGTCAGGCTCCCCGCCCTGAGTATCGCGAGACGAGGTGAGAGCTGGCGGAGCGGCGGCGGCGGCGGCGGCAGTAGAGGTGACCGAGGCGGTGGCGGCGGAGGCGGCACCGAGCGCTGTGTCGGCCCCGGTGCGGCCGAAGTCGCTGTAGAGCGTAGCCCCCACGCCCCTCCCCCGCCCGCGCCCTCCCTCTTCCCTGGGGATGGAGAAGGCGACGGTTCCGGCGGCGGCGGCGGCGGCGGCTGAGGGAGAAGGGAGCCCCCCGGCGGCGGCGGCAGTGGCGGGCCCCCCCGCGGCGGCGGCGGCGGCGGCGGCGGCAGCGGAGGTCGGCGGCGGCGTTGGCGGCGGCGCTGGGGTTCGCTCGGCCTCCTCTCCGCGTGGAATGGTGCGAGTCTGCGACCTGCTCCTGAAGAAGAAGCCGCCGCAGCAGCAGCACCACAAGGCCAAGCGGAACCGGACTTGCCGGCCCCCCAGCAGCAGCGAGAGCAGCAGCGACAGCGACAACAGCGGCGGCGGCGGCGGCGGAGGCGGCGGCGGCGGCACCAGCAGCAACAACAGCGAGGAGGAGGAGGACGACGACGACGAGGAAGAGGAGGTTTCTGAGGCAAGGGCCTGGCTCGGAAGCAGGAGGGAGGACGGGGCCGCACGGGGCCGGGGCCGAGGCCGAGGGTGGGAGGGGACCCGGGCGGCGGGGCCGGCCCGGGGGCGCTGGTCTCCCCTGGGGGCCGGCGCCCCCTTTCTTCCCGGGCCTGCTCGGGAGGTGCGGGGTGGGGGAGGGTAGTGACACGTGGGGGCGGGAGGGCTCCGAGGCCGCGGGCTTGGGGCGCACACGCCGCCCGGGCTCGCCTCACATGGCTGGGGATGGAGGGAAGGGGCTGAGTCCCCGTTTGCACCCCCGGCGGGGCTGCCCGGGGCCGGCCGGGCCGAGCTCCTGGGCCCGCGCCGAGCCAGCCAGGAAAGGGTGAGCCACGGGGACGAGGAGGTTGGTAAATAAAAGAGTAGGACGAGGAGGCTGGTAAATTCCTCACAAACTGTGAGGTGGAGGGGAGCTGTTCTGGGGGGAGGTGAGGTGGTGGAGGAACCAGAGCGAAGTATTTGGGTATGTGAGGGACACGTGAGAGGCTGTACTTTTCCATACTGTTCTGCTGCAGGGTTTTTGGGTTTTGTTTTTTTTCCGCCCCCCCCCATAACTATTGTGGCGGCTTAAGTAACCTTCACTTCCTCCATCTCTCATCAGAGATTTTGGACGAACGGAGCTGGTGTGTCCATATGCATTTCTGTGTAACGTGGTGGAGGGAAAATGTATTTGTTTGAGCCTTCCATGGACAGACGTTTTCAAGTGCTTCTTATTGAGGAAGAATTAAAGCAGGTCCTGTTGCTTTCCAGATAATATGAGGCAGATCAAGGGTCTGATTTGGAACCAGGCTTAGTTGTGGTGAGTTGGAATAGGAAGGCCTCTTGGTTTGTCCTAGTGATCTGGTTTCATAATAACTTTATAATTTTCCCTGGATCCACAGACAGGCGGCGTTGCAGGACCTTATTCTTCAAAGAAGACCATATAGCCAAGCTTAGTATAAAGCATACCATACTAACAACAAACTGAGAGTTTGTCTTAATAGTTATCAGCTCTTTTGTAACTCTCTTGTCCACTCCCTGACATGGAAGCTAGAAAATCTTGATCTGGAGAAAGAAGTTGTAACTTAAGGCAGCTTTAAAGACTGATTATAGATTTAGGTATAAGAGACAACAGCTGAATTGTCCAGGAGTAACTTTTGTCATTTACTCTCTTCCACAAACACAGAGCTTATCTTGGCTGTGTTTTAAAAAAATTGCTTTATTGGATCTTGAATTCTGTTCAAATAGAAAAATACCCTTTAAAGAGTTTGAGACTTGTCAATTTGTAGAAGACCTGATTCTCTTTTATCTCAGACTAAATGAAGTAGTTATATAAGTAGAAATGTAGTAGTTCAAGTATGTATGCCAAGAAGATGGTCACTCCCTCCTGTTCCATTTAGTCTATTGAGTCGTAAGGATAGGTTTGTATCATAGGTTTTGTGTTGACCACCTTGGATGTTTCAGGATAGCGTTGGTAATTGCTACATTCAAAACAGTGAAGAGAAGTTTGGGACAGGATCCTTATTTCCAATGCAATCTACAGTGGTATTTAGAATCATTCAATTGTATAATTCTTTGTGTATGAAGAACATTTTAGAGATAATCTAACCTAGGCCTTTTATTTATAAAATAAGGAAAACAAGATCTAGAGTAAACTCATGGGTAGTAGGAAAAGTAGGAGAAAAGAGGTGGCAGAGTTTTCTAATTGTTCAGGCTTGTACACTTTTTATAACAATTTATTTCCTTGTATACTCTTCCTGACCTCTTTCAAAAAATAGGCAGTGAATTGCAGGGTAACACAGGCTTTCAGTAATGGGCAGAACCTCAGTTTTTAAATTCTCAGAGTAAAAGCACTGTTTAGGAACATGGTCATAGTTGAGTGTGGTACCCACCAGAACATTGTGCTGTAAACTTAACATATTCAGGTAGTTTTGTCCTTTGGAATTTGGTCTAATAAGTAAAACTTAGTAACTCCTTAAATCATGTAAAGCAGCCTTAAGTTAGTCGGTATGTTAACTTTGTGAGTCAGATTTGTTTACCTTTGAAAATGGGAAGATATATACTTACCTTGATAAATGAGGGGAGTGTTTGTTTTTAAAGTGCTTTATTCTGTCTTCTACACAGTGGCCTACAATAGGTTTGTCATTTGTTGTGAAGATGAGTCTCAAGTAATAAGTGTAAGAAAAGTACAGCCATTAAAAAGAAATCTATACAGGTACATGATGAGGGATGAACAGACAGATAGGACTACAGTTTATCTCTGCACCTGCCTCTATTGCTGACATAAATAAATAAATAAACCTTATGGTCACTGTACACTAACTGGGTGAGTTGTGCAGTGTTTTTCTTTTAACTAATCTTTTGTTGTTATGTCAATGGAAGTTTTTCTAGAGTTAGAAAATCTTGCAGTACTCATTGTATTTAAGTCCTCTCTCTAATTCATTCTTATTGGCTACACAATAAAAAAATTGTGGATAACATGATTCTTGTGATTATCTTTCCAATTAAGATCACCAAAAGGTGAAAAGGGGATAGGAAAGGTTATGTAGGGGTACCTAAGATGGAAATGTGAAGGATAAGTTTACAAAAATATATACATTTGCTATAAAGGAAGCTTGCTAGGTATTTCTGTCTGCTGAAAGAGGAAAAGTGGAAGCAAGGAGATTCATTTTTAAGTAACACCTTTATTTCAATGTTGTAGAAAAACCTATTTCTTTTTAAACCTAAGTGATAGTTACTGAGAATTGGATTTTCCTTTCTATATTTCACACTAGGATAATCATGTTTTAATTTGCATAACTTTAGATATGCCTGAAACAAATGTATAAGAGTAAGAGCTTTATTCTTTCCTCTCCTCATTTGACCCAAATATGTAGACAAAAAAAATTGAAAGAGTGCTTGATTTTGTTGGCTTTCAGTGGGTGACTGAGCAATATTGAAAACTGAAGTGTGTTTCCTAACATAAAAGCCATGATACACTTATTTTCAAATTAGTGGACTGAATTAAATTGCTTACTTAATATCACAAGGAGAAAAACTTTGAAATTGCAAGGGTTGATTTTGGAAATAGTTTTACATTCTATTGAATGCATTTTTTTTTTTTTAAAGACTTATTTATTTATACAAGAACCAGGTACAGGCCAGATGCGCTGGAGGGTGAGAGAATTCACCAGAGACAGAGCAGGGAACAGAACAGGCAAACTGACGAAATACACTGCTGAGGGGAGCAGCAGGCGCAACAGGGGAGGTCTGCGGCACCATGTGGGACCCTCACTGGTTGGCCCGGATCAAACCGGTGCTGGAGAGGCTGCGGACAGCTTCACAGCAAGGCCAGCTTCACAGCAAGGCCAGCTTCACAGCAAGGCCAGCTTCACAGCAAGGTGCTCAACCCCCTGAGCCACCAGGGGAGGCCCTTGAATGCATTTTTAAATGTAATTAAGTGGCATTACTGTTTGCTGAAGTACTAACTCATGTTCAAAAGTAACATTTTTGTTAAATGTTCATAAAATATTAGTACAGTAGGAGTTGATCTAAATAAGATCTATTTTTGTAAGCAACGTAACTTTAAGAGACAAATCTAGTTAAGAGATTTTAGACAAGGGGAGCCAGTCAATAAATTAGTACTGACTTACTAACTTTTGAAAGGATCTGTGAGACTAGGGAGTTACTGTTTATTGACATGAAAACAGGTACAGTTGAAAATGAGAGAGGAAAGGAAAATTATTACAGAAATAGATCATGTTTCCTCAGTGTCACTTCCAAAATCTTTTTTGTTTTTTAATGAAAAAAATGCTATCCAGGTCCCTTTATTGTGATGATAAAATCCCAGATTAGCACAGAGATTGATGGAATATTTGTAAACTAGATGTTCAGATCCTTGAAATCTTAATTCTGTCTTAATTATACTTAATCTCTTATACAGTACTTGTTGATAAACTTTTTCAGTGAATAACTAGTACCTAATGACAATACAGAATTCATTTAGGAAATCAAGAGGAGATGTCCCTTCTTTCTTGTGTCCTGAGCTTCAAAATAAGTGAAGTTTGGATTTCAATCTTTCAATTTCCTAGTTAGTTGTCTTAGTGATGGTGATCTTCCACAAATAATAGGGGAGAAAACCTATTTAATAGATATTTATTGTTGGATTCCTGATTAGTTCCTTAAGTCTCCTAGATATATTTACATTTTAAAAACTATTTTTCAGTGCCTACTGTGTGTTGGGTCTAAATGTAGTGATTTAGAGTATGACTTAGAGTTTGGAGAATCTTTGCACCATCATGCACCAACTTTATGATTTTTAGGAAAATTCATTCACTCATTCACATACTTTAATGCTGAGTACAATATCTCTGATATTGGCATTTTAGAAAATGTTAATACAAATTCAGATGATATAGAAGATATTCTTCGCCAGTAGGGCAACCACTGAGGATATAAGTTGGCTACCGCAGACTTTTCTTGTTCTGAAAAACTCACTGGAAAAAAAAAAAACCCACATAAAAATACAGATAAATGTATCTATAGTCCTATAATTCAGAATTAACAATATTTAGCAAAATGAAACTTTACAGTGACAACTACCATTTCTAGAGATAGTCTAATGCTGCTTCTTGCCTCAAAGTTTTTACCTTACAAGATTATCTTCCTTTGTTAAAAGCTATTTTTCCTTTTTAATGGAAGATGTTAGCTTGGGATCTGAATAGGCTGTGAATACTATGAAATTGTTTAATTTTTTCAAGATTTATTTATTTATGCATACAAGAACTGGGGTACAGGCCAGAGGTGCAGGGGGTGAGAGGATTCACCAGAGATAGAGCGGGGAGCAGAATAGGCAGAAATACACTGCTGAGGGGAGCAACCGGCGAGACAGGAGAGGTCTGCTGCGCCATGCGGGAATCTCTCTGGCTGGTGGGGAATTGAACCCGTGCTGTAGAGGCTGTGGACAGCTTCACAATGCTGTGCTTAACCTGTTGTGCCACCAGGGAGGCCTGAATACTTTGAAATTAAACACAAGATTTTGTTGAAGCTGCTTTTTATGTTTTTTTCTTTCTCCATCATCCGATAGCATGTGTGCAAAATTTTCATTCACTAGTCAGAAAGGTCAATGACAACTTCCTTTTTCCTACCTTATTATTTTGAAATATCCTTACTGCAGTGATAATGGGGAATCCAGTATTTATGTGGATTGTTTAGAATTGGGAAGCTGCATCTAACTAAGGTAATTTAATGGAGAAAGCCTATTTGTGAAGTAGGGGGTGTAAAACTTATCTGTTCTCTCATGTAGACTAGCACTTTGCCTATTCTCTTCTCTTAATTCCTCACATCTGCCTTTTAATTGTTGAATCAGTTTGCAAGTAGTCTGTTGTTGATATGTGTCAAACTGTGTCTTACCAAAGGTAAGGTGGAAAGATATGTGACTCTTTCCCCCAAAACAATGACCACCTCCAAAGTAATAATAAAATATAATCAGAAATTGTGGATGAGCTATAGTGGACCAAAAAATGTATAAGAAAGGCAGAAAAAAAAACAAAAAAAAAAAACCCAGAATTATTGTCTTAATCCTCTTGATATGTCCTAGTCTACTCCTGCTGTGTGTTATATAATTCTTAGTATCTTACCTCTGCTAGACTTTCTCTCTTATTTTTTCATCTCTGCTCGATTTTCATGTAATCAAATCACTGGAGTAAAAAGTATTTCATAAATATTTCTTTTTTAAACCACTTGATTCTGGAAATACTTGGGACTTAAAGTCTTTAAGGTAACAGAATGTGGTTGTATCTATTTAAGTGGACCAAAGTGAGATGCTTTAATTGGGCTCTATTAGGCTAGTCACCATTAACCTTACTATCCTGGAGTATTACATTTTTGTTGTTGAATAATCATCAAAGAAGCACATTTTTGACTCAGAAGTTAACGAGGCTTCATTTAGACTGCTTTTGCGAACATCCAGTTATATACCATTCAGTTAATTAGGAGGCCAATTTTTAGGACGTTGAGACTGTGTGTTTGCATTTATGACGGTAGTTTATTCTGCATTTTTATAAAGATGACCAAGTTGGCTAGGAAATGTGAATGACTGAGTTTCTTTATAATTTTTCCAAATTTGACCATTGATATAATTTTCACATCATAATGGTATGTCAAGTACCTGCTGCTAAGACTTGTGTTTTTGTTAGGACCAATAGGGGGCACCAGCATCTATGGTAATCTATGCCAAATTTGCCAAACTTCTTTCATTTTTACCTTTAGAAAACAATGTCATTAGGGTATTGAAGATGATGGGTGAATATAAATACTCTTCTAGTCCCTGGAACTTTATCTATCTAGTTATGCCTGTCCACTTTCCACTCCAAAGCATCCCAAACTTAAAATGCGTAACTTTTATTTATTTTTTTGTCTTTAGAAATTACTCCTATCCAGAAGAGAAGTGGAATTGTGAAGCAATGTAGTTGTTGTCATTTTATGGTGATTTATAATTTGAAGTTTTAATTATTGAAATGGGACATAGTAGATTTTTTTTTCCTCTCCCAAGATTGCTACAGAACTTATAATTAATAGAGCCTTAATTATTGAAAGTATAACTTTAGGTTGTCTTCCTGCTATCTTACAAAACTCTGGAACATTATCTGATTTTTTTACAAAAGGGTCAACTTTTGAAGTTTACTTCTGGGTGAGACTAGAGGTAAAAGAGTCAGATATAGAAGAAATGTAAATAAAGATCAGAGTACTTTAAGAATTTCTGTCAGAGCCGTTATTATTTAGTGACTTTATAAACAGTTTTGATGTATGATAAGATCTGTCTCAGTGTACAGGTAGATATGAGTGAATTGTGTTAATAGGAATAGGCAATAAGATAATTGAAAGTAGATTGAAAATGTTAAATTGTGTTTTTTTGGGTAGTCTGAAACAGCATGTATTTCCAGTAAAAGTTAAGTGTAGTGTTGAAGAAGATTAAAAATTTATTGGAGATAAATAAAATCACAATCCTTAATTAGTGCCATGATTACCACCATGAAAATGGTGAAGTTCTAGAGCAGGATAGTTTAAAAATGGTGAGAGGGGTAGGTATAATCTATGATCTTGTAAGATAGCACGTTATACTTAATTATTTTCTTACTGCATGTTAATGAATTAGCCATTACTTAAACAAACTGGGTCATAATGGAAAAAAATTGTGACGTGTATTAGATAGTGTTATTTCGATTTTGAAAATAAACTAATTTCTCATTTCTTGAGTGTGAAATTATAGACTAGACACGACTATACTAAATGGAACTAATCGTAGTAATATAACTCTGGCAGAGCATATCCCTCTTCAAAGCTATCTTTTGGCTCATTTAATCTTTATTCTCCCATTCTTCTCCCCCTAAAAGAAAGGGACAGTGAAGAAATAAAAACCTATCATGGGCCTCCCCTGGTGGGGCAGGCGGTTGTACACAGTGCTGAGAAGCTGTCTGCAGCCTCTGCAGTGCTAGATCGATCCCCGCCGGCCAGCTGGCGAGGATCCCACATGGCGCGGCAGACCTCTCCTGTCGTGCCCACTGCTCCCCTCAGCAGTATGTTTCGTCAGTCTGCCTGTTCTGTTCCCTGCTCTGTCTCTGGTGAATCCTCTCACCCTCCTGCACATCTGGACTGTACCCTGGTTCTTGTATAAATAAATAAATAAGGCTTTATAAAAATAATAAAAAATAAAAACCGATCTTAAAATTCTTGGTCTGGACTTTTCCTCAAGGATTGTTTAAAGAACCCTTGACTAAAAAATGTTTCAGGTGGATATGTAGAAAAATTGGTTTAGCCTAAGTTTTGGATTTGAAATAAACATTAACATGGAGTATTTTCCTTTTCTCTTTTATCACCCTAAATCTGAAATTGTAGCAGAAATGGAAGCTTTCTGTTTGTGTTTCACCAGTTTTATTTCCAGTTCCGTCCTTGACCCCATTATTGTCTTTTTATCTTTTCTCTGCCATGTTTCCCTCTTATTTTTTATATGAAATTAATAGCAAAAATATTCCTATTGAAAAGCCTTGGTGTAGCTCTTACTAGTTTAAGATGGCAGTATAGGAGTGAATTCTTTTATTCCACAAGCTATCTTTTGAGTATCACCTATGTGTGACTGTTTTCAGTATATAATAATCTCAACCATTTCCTTGTCAGAGAATATGAAAAAATTAGCTGTGTTTGAAATCATAGTTATATTTATTGAGCTCAGCGATTTTTGTACATGTTGTAGATAGTAAGCTTATATATACAAAAACAGCATATTGATAGAATTTTGCTTTTATGATTTTTTAAAAGATAAATAGCAACATACAATATGTTTTTCAAACTAAATTTACTTAAGCATGATTGATTACTACTTGAAACATTTAGGGTTGATAAAAAATTTAAAAGAAACACATCTAGCTTCATAATTTATTGTGTTGAGATAGTTAATTTTAAAACTGAGGATGATTCTAATCCTTTATAATTATTTTATTAGGGGAGTCTGTTAGTTTTGAGTATAACTGTGTGCTTTTAGAAGTGGTCTTACTACAGGTACCATTTTGTTTCTGTTTTTGAACACTAGTAGCATAGACTTAACATGTTTTATGTGTGTCTCTGGGAGTACTCCTTTGTGGTATTTGTGTTCCTTTCTTTTTTTTTTTTCTTTTAAAGATAGGATATTTTTCTGGCATATTCTTGACAAGTAAATTACACCAAAGAATCATCCATTCTAATATGACCCTCAAGATTTTGTAGTTAGATAAAAAGTATCTGTATTAGTATTACTTGTGGTAGCTACGGGTACAGATGTATTAAAATATGAGAAATTGCATTTTAGAAAGTGTAGGGTGTGATGTTAAATGTCTTTTGAATTAGATTTTAATGTTTCTGTAATTAAACATTAATGAACACATGTATTTGTAGATAATTTCACAAAGGCAAAAGTGTCTAAACAATACAAAATCACCTATAATTCTATTCTCCAGATTTAATCGTTATTATTTGAAATTGTCTTCATTCTTTTTCCTTGGTATATAATAATCAAATTATCTATTACACAGAACAGACCTGTCACTTAGAAACTGTCTGCTAAGTTTAATTGATGCGCATTCTTAACATGTATCAGTTGAAGAGATGGACTTTTGCATGATGATTTATATATTTAACTATAAAAATGAATGCATACTTGTGGGGGAAAAAAGTCTTATAATACATGAGGTATTTCATCCCACTTATAGTAAATGCTGCTTACATGTTGGTATATACAACCAACACGTTGGTATATACAACCAACCAAAGAAATATATATATATTTCTTTCTTGGTGTGAGAGAGACAGAGTTTCTGAGACACATTAGGCTGTCTCATTTTTCTCATTTATTTGTGAGTGTTCCATAACATTATGAATGTTCATAATTTGCTCTTTTATGTTGCTAGATATTTAGATTGTTCCAGGACATTGTACATTCAGTACCTTGCACATATAATGCTGA